AATCCATGGCGGTCCCAACTACGGTTATTCCAAAAAAATGTACAAAATAAAAATAATTACTTACTTACTTAACTGGCTTGTTACAGAACGGTTGTTCAATAAGCCGAGCTTAAAAAAATTCCAAGCGCGTCGGTCTTGTGCGCAGATCCACCAATTTGGAAGACCACGTTCCAAGATGTTGTTTTCTACTTTGTCTTTCCATCAAATTCGTGGCCTTCCCCTTCTACGGGTACCATCAGTAGTCTCGTTTTTATATGCCTTTTGAGCTGCAGCTCAATACGACTGACTATGTCGATGTCCGCGTATAAATTGTAGAGCTCTTGGTTCATTCGACGCCGATATTCACCGTCGACGCAGAATTTTTCTTTCAAACACCCTAGGAGCTGCCTCATCTGCTTGCGCAAGTACCCATGCTTCTGATCCATATATATGAATCCTCGTTCGGTATTGAAGGGCTCCGATAGGTCCTTCCCTACATTAACTGCTGATCTTGTGCCACTTAAAGTTATCCTGCATAGCCGTATTAATTTTGCAGGAATGCCGAACGTAGACATGGCTTTAAACACCTATGAACGGATAGGGCTGTCGAATGCGGCTTTATAGTCGACATATAGGTGGTATGTGTCGATGTGTTTTTCGTGGGTCTTTTCCAGGATTTGGCGCAGAGTGAAAATCTGGTCAATGGTGGATTTGTCAGGTCTGAAGCCGCATTGGTATGGTCCAATGATGTCATTGACCATTGGCTTCAATCGTTCACACAGCACACTGGATAGCACTTTATATGCGATGGGAAGGAGACTTATTCCTCTATAGTTGGCACATATCGTCTTGTCTCCTTTTTTGTGCACGGGACACAGGATGCTGAGGTTCCAATCATTGGGCATGCATTCATCTAGCCAAATTGTACTAAACAGCTGTTGCATGCTCCTGACCAGCATCTGGCCACCATTCTTGAATAGTTCGGCTCCTGCTGCTTTGTTGTTCTTGAGCCGATTAATTGCTTTTGTGACCTCATCTTGGCTAGGTGGTATACACTCTATACCATCATCTCTTATTGATTCTGGGGTATCTTCTTCAACGTCACTATTTGATACTAGAAGCTTTTCAAAATGCTCCTTCCAGATCCTCAACACGCTGTCTGTATCTGTCACCAGGTTTCCTTCTTCATTTCTACAGGAGGATGTGCCTGTAGAACACCAAACAGGAAAGCCTTCTGTTTGGTGTTTTGCTCGTTGGTAAAATTCCCGGACTTTATTCTAACTCCTGTATATCTCGATTTGCTCACGCTCACGTTTTTCTTGTTCTTTCTTCTTTTTTCTAAAAACATCGTCTTGTCTCCTTTTTTGTGCACGGGACACAGGATGCTGAGGTTCCAATCATTGGGCATGCATCCATCTAGCCAAATTGTACTAATCAGCTGTTGCATGCTCCTGACTAGCATCTGGCCACCAGTCTTGAATAGTTCGGCTGGTAACCCATCGGCTCCTGCTGCTTTGTTGTTCTTGAGCCGATTAATTGCTTTTGTGACCTCATCTTGGCTAGGTGGTATACACTCTATACCATCATCTCTTATTGGTTCTGGGGTATCTTCTTCAACGCCACTATTTGATACTAGAAGCTTTTCAAAATGCTCCTTCCAGATCCTCAACACGCGGTCTGTAACTGTCACCAAGTTTTCTACTTCATTTCTACAGGAGGATTTGCCTGCACCAAAGCCTTCTGTTGTTTTACACGTTGGTGAAATTTCCGGACTTTATTCTGATTCCTGTATATCTTGATTTGCTCACGCTCACGTTTTTTCTTCTTCTTCTTTTTTCTAAAAACACGTTTCTCCTCTCTCCTTTTCTCCCGATAATTCTCCATCACGTTACGTGTTGCTACTGTCTGCAGGGTTGCCCTATACGCTGCGTTTTTTACATCAGTAGCATTACGACACTCCTGATCGTACCATGGGTTTCTTGGTGGTGGTTTTTGGTACCCAAGTGTTGCTTTTGCTGCAGTTTGTAGGGAGTGGGTAATTCTTTGCCATTGTGCTTCTATACTATTATCGGGACAAGTAGTGCTTTCTTCAAGCAGATGGGTAAGTTCTTTATACGTTTGCGGGGGTCGTCAACATTAGGGGGGTTTTGTTTTCTTTTTCTTAGCTTTTCTTTTTCTTAGTAGGTTGGGTTTTCCGAGAGTGGGCAACTAACCCTTGCCTCAACCCATTTTTTTATAGTTTTTATGGGTGAACTCGCGGCACATATTAGCTCACTATTTCATCGGGGGATCAGAATAGCTCCCCAGGTGGCACCGCGGGGAGGTCAGTGTCCACAATTGACATGAAAGAGGGACCAAGATAAGCCTGGACTTCATGTTAAAGCCAATCAGAGCCGTTGCTTGGTATCTATCATCCCCTACGCCATCCTGGCCAAGGTTTAATATACCATGATCCTGGTCTTGATGGGCTGAAAACTTTTTGCTTAGTTATACCTTTAAGACTTCAAGCTTTTCTTTAAAAATACAACAAGATCTTTATCCCGTTCAAACTCTTCTATAAGATCTACTTTAAAAATATCTGTCTATTCTATAAAAATATCTCCAGCTCGACTATGAGAAGACCTCCAGCTCTTCTATGAGAAGACATCCACCTCTTCCATAAGAAGACCTCCAGATCTCTTATAATACCCGAACTCTATAAAAATACATCTAGATAGAACAATAACATCTCCAGTCAATTCGCAGAAATTTCATATCGAAAAGGGAAAATTTTGTAGCGCGTGCGTACGCGCTAAAGGCGTAAAACTATTTAATAAAAATTTCGGAAACAAATTTTTCTTAACTAAACAAACGATTATATTTCGCACGCTGTAACAGTGCGTGACATGGAATTCGCGATGTATCAAAAAGCAATAACATCATAGATAATGAAGTGCGAATAAAGAGGAAAAAATATTTTTTCAGATCAAATAATATCAAACTGATGTTGATGAACGATGGTGGAAGTTATGTAGAATAATCTTAAAATGTATAGTATTCCACAGAAAGCAGATGTGAAATCCATTTGTATCTAAATCATCATCACAGTTCAGTTCAATAATCCCCTATGGTAATTTACATTGAATTATATAAATTCACTTCTTCAGATCTAAAAAAAAAAACAGTTAAGCCCTTTCATGTTGGAGGGTTGTTGACGCATAAGTTCTAATACGCAAAAACAGAAAACGCTGTAGTTAAAACGGAAAACGTAGAAGCCTCCAAAAATATGGTTTGGACGTTGCAAATTTGAATAGATTTTGATTTTTTAATGTTTTATTTCTTCTGAAAATGATTTATTAGACTTAATTGCCAACATGAAGTTGTCTTTTGTATATATTTTTAATATCAACACCATTTAAATTAACAATCCCACGGTGTGCTAATTAGGAGTCACTTTCAAAATTTGACTTGTTTCCTAATTACCGCTATATATTACAAATTCACCAAGCTTGTTTTCTATTTTCACACTTAAGAGTAAAAAATTAATAAAAAAAAATATTTAAACATATTCCAAACGAATCGAGGGTTAATCAAAACACTTTTCCCTTCATGTGTGTTCTAATTAGGTGACCACCAGTGTATATAATTGAGCACAAGCCTTGGGCCACCAGAAGATCTCAATTTTAACATTTCTGAAGGTTGCTTTCAATTGATCATAGTTGGTCAGCAAATCCAGTACAAAGATGTTCTAGATGTTTGGTGATTTAGACTTATGGATCACATCATGCATGGAAATACGAAGAACTTGATCCAGCATATAATGAACTTGAAGGTGTGAAGAGAAATGCATTGTACGACAAAACTTTGCTGCAAGCGTCGTCGATTCGATCGCGTTAAAATATTTAATCCTTTGCGAACGAATTTTTGGTTTGTAGAGGTTTTCATCATTCTTGCACAATCTATCGTCTTGGTCATGTCAAATAATTACTTTATAAAAATAAAGATTCGCGGTGTTCAAGAACGCTCGTAGTCTTCCAGAAATCCTGCTAGTATAATTTGGTCGGGTGCTTAAAAGTTCGGTCCAATATATACGGGGAATTTCAGCTTTAAGCTCTTTAAACAATTAGTGCGATCCTCTCTGTCCTTGTCTTGGAATGAAGTAATTAGAAACGTTCAATGACGTAAACTTTCCTCGTTTTTGTTTATTTCTTCAAGATAATAGTAACAGGTATATTTTTCCCGTTCGCTACAACCATCCAAAAGTGTCTGGAATGGCGAATTGGAAAATATAAATTTGAAAATGTTCAACATTGACAACGCGTATTTTGGAATTTTTGTGTTCTAAACATAGAATTCCAGTCATTGAAAAATTTGTTTTTCTATAAATGAAAACATTTTTTCTATCAATTAAAAAATATTTTAATCCATTTTCGCCGTTTTCAATTGGTATAAAAGCAAATAAAGTTCTTGTGTATTTGGGTAATACGGACGTCTTACATACACTATAAAGGTGAGAAGGTGAGTATTTTTGTACGGAGTGCAATAAATTAGGTACGACCCTTAAATGAGAAAAAATGTCAGGTTATGACAAAAAAAAAATAAATAAATAAAAATAAAATAAACTTGTGTACCATGGAAGCAATTGTAGGTGTGTGACTATTTAATTATCCGTCGCTACAACAAAAATCTGCTTTGAAAGGGACTGTTTCTAGAGTGAAGCCAAATGTCTAAACTTGACAAATTTGAATTAATTTCGCAGATGCGATTTCGCATAAATACAATTATCAACATACGACCTTTGTAAAGCCACAAATCCCTGCCTTTCCTTTTTGTTGCAAACTTCTACTCGAAAAAAAAACTCAGTTGAAAGATCTCGATGCGATAAAAAGAACTAATAAGCACATTTCGCATCTATTATTAACAAAATTTTTTTTATGTATTAAATGTGTATACACATTCTTGACTTAATTTATTTAAAAATCATATAAAAATTAAAAAATTATATATATTTACAATGGATTTGGTTTTCTTATTACTTTTAGAATACAACTGCGGCATTATTGGAACTGCAACAAACTAATTTGCATTTGGATATATCTGCACACTTAGTCAGCTCGTATGTATCACAAGATTCTCCAGTGCTACGTGTACTTTTCCATGCAGGGGCGGATCCAGGGGGGCATTTACAACGTCAAAAAATTTGTGTATTATTACACGTATCTAGCGGAAATCACGTCCCAATAAAAGGGAGATGTATGCCAGAGGGAGAAGATGGTGTATGCGTAGCTGAGGTATAATTATTTGAATATTATTATAATTAGATTGTACAATTATAATTCATATTTTTTCTATTTTTAGGTTGTAATACCCTTTAATTGGTTTCATTCTTTGTCGCCCCTGACAAATAAAGATAATGTGAACAATACTCCGATTAAAGTTCCCCAGCGTTTTGTTCAAGTATCTTATAGTGTCTTCGAGCCACCAATAAGAAACCCTGAACAATGTGAGCCAAAAGTACAGATTCAGCCATTGACATCCTTTGTTCAAGTTCCACTTGTTGCCGCGATGGAACCATTTAAAGAATTTCAAATAGATGAATCTCTTGTTATTCTTCTGCCGCAACAACCTCTATATCCGATGAGCAAATTTCATGTGCCAGTATATTTACAATATTCGGAAAAAAATATTTCCTCATTTACTGTAAAAGCTCGAGTCAAATCAGGAATAAAGATTTTGGGAGCAACGTCATCGTCTGATATGTGGAATATTTCGATAGAGAGGGATAATTCCAAGCATTCCACTGTAAGAGTAACAGCTGTTAGAAAGAAGCTAGACAGTTATTTAGAAAACAACGTTACTTTGCAAATTGTCGAAAATAGGTAAATAAACATAAATTTTCAGTACAGATGAATGCGAAAACTTTTCTATAAAATAGAAAAAAAAAAACAATAACGTACGTTGAATTAGCAGTGAATACATCTTAACATTTTATCAAAATGAACAACCGACTAACTACAATAAACATATTGTTTTATATTTACTCCCTAGAATTGACGAAATATTTACATGGCTTCTAGAAGTTGCTGATGATACAAAAGAACTAATTGATGGTGGAAAAATCGTGTGGTCTGTTACCTACATTTACGACAATCCACGGGAGTCTTCTTTGGAAATAGCTCCGGAAGACAATAAAAAGAGAATAATTGCAAAGTTAGAAGTAAACAAAGATGATATTCAAGCAGTTTTGCCTATGGCGAAGGTATGTTTAAATACATTTTATTACATTATTGTAGAAATATACGATATATGATTTGAAGATATGATCACGGAGAGTAGACATACTTGACTTTTTTTAAAGCTAAAGATGTTTCTTCTTTAATTTTAGAATTGGGAACTGATGAATACAGCTGTTTTGACCGGACGACAAGTGGCACAAGCCATGAAAGTTTTCATAGTGTCGCAAGGAGGAAAAGTAGCTGATGTTACTTTACAAAGTTCATGTAATGCGGAAGATGAAAGTGTAATTAAGGTAGGTTTTGATTATTTTCCTATGCACTACCAAGAATTAAACAGCGAAATAAAGCAAGTTGCATCAGGTATTTTATAGTAGAAATAAAAACAATGACATGAAGAAAAATAATACATCGAGTTTGGAAGATAGTAAAGAAATATGTAGTGTACTCTACAAATCTTCTTTAATTATGTTATTTGTTGTCATAATGTAAGTTTAGAATTAAGAAATCGAACAAAAAATTTAAAATAATCCTAAAAAAACTAAATCAGTCGTATAGTTTACTCCGTATTGTGCTGACGTGAATTTCTCCTCATATAGTAAAATAAAGACAAATACATTAAAATATAGAACTGTTACTCGTGCTTTTTCTTCTCAGTACACGAGTATTAATAAAAATAAATTGACCAACATAAAGAGACGGTGCGACGATGACCTTGTTGCCTCTTCAAGGCATTTAGGTTAGTTTAGGGATGTATTTGTCCATTGTGATCTTCCTTGGTACCTGAAAGGAGCGAAGAAAAGATAGTGGAAGAGAGAAAATATAGTCGGGGTTTAGTTTAGCCATGTCAAAGTCTTAACAAAGCTTAGGATCTACTTGGCTATTCTGCCTCTCAGCGATGGACACCTATAGAGGATATGTTCAATTGTTTCTAGCTCTTCTTCTCCTCACATAGACGGCAGAGATCCTCTCCGTTGATATCGCATATAGAAGTGAGAGGTCTAATCTTAAAACCAACTATGAGGATGACATTCAAAATATATAAAATTAATGGGGCTTCTAGGAAAAACACATGTTATGATAGGTATTTGAATATAACTAAAAAGAGAAAAAAAGGATTGTTAATGTCAAGATGGTTTCCGTTTTATAATTCAGGTTTATTTAAAATAAAAGGTAATTCTTCAATAAATATACAATATAGAAATATTTTTTGTATTATTCTTTAGCTTTCTTAAAAGCGTCCTCTCTCGTTCACTTTTCAACAACGACTGTCTTAATAACTCATTTGGCCTCTCCTGACTCTTCGTCCCTCCTGGGCGAACTATCATCGGATTCATTTGATGATTTTTGTCACTATGTATGGTTCATTAAACCGGGCATCTAACTTATGTGATTATCCAGTGGGTTTTGGTACTGTATCAGCAGCATTCCGGGCATGACTGAATATACGATTTAACATATCGTCTCATTCTTTGAAACCAAAAATCTCGTTGCATCCTTTGAAGAGTTTTCTCTAGAACGAAGTGTCCCAAATCATCATTACATGCCTTAGTAATACGGCACATAACCCTATCCGGAATTACTAATCTATTCCCATTGTCCGTTTTGCGGTATAGCCTATCATTCTCTATAACATAATCCGTCTTGATCTGCTTCGTTTCGTTAGCTTCTCCCGACCCTTGGCCATTGATAGCATCGAAACATGTTTCAGCTTGCTATCAGACATTTGTAGTTGATAAACCCATTCGTTAATATTTATCGTGAGCACCAAAACATTTTCTTTCTTCTGCTCATACCATCTACATGAGTCATATTTGCACCAGATCGGTGAATGATTTTAAAATCAAACTTCTGCAATTTAAACCACTGGACGGAATTCTTCACCTTCACGTTGGAGTAATATTCCAGACAAACCGATAGAACAAGCATACGTGTGTACTTCATGTTTTTTTTTCTGGGGATCAAACAGTGCCAAAACGGGTTGCGTTGTAATTTGATTTTTCAGCGAAACAAAGGCATTATCTTCCTATTCTTCCCATTTAAATATCGCATCCTTCTCCATCAGTCTCGTTAGTGGCATAGCTACGTGACTGTGAATTGGTACAAACTTACGGAAGAAATTGGTGATGCCAATAAACTTACCCACATCTGACACGCTTTCAGGTCTCGGAAATGCCCTAATGCATTTGGTTTTGTCTTCTCCAGGTCGTATACCAAGAGCACTGACCGTATGCCCTAGGAAACTCACACTTTCTTGAAGGATTGTGCATTTGGTTGGCCTTTGCGTTAGCCCTTCTTCAGCAAAGCAATCCTTGTATGACTAAAACATTTTGCCAAGCTTACCCTTCTGTTTCTAACCTAAACCATCTCCAAATGTAACTGAATTCGGCATTGCTGACTTCACTTTCAAAACTCCATACTCAATTGTAAGCCTTTTCCCTGCTTACCCAACAATATGCCATACTACATCAAATCATTAGGAACCACATAAATATTAGCCTTAAAAGACTCTTCGTCGATAACGACATCCGCTTCGAACATTTCCACAACTTCGATGATAGATCCACCCAAACCTTTTATTCTTCTTGACGTTGATACCACATTTACACATTCTGGAGCAACACCTTCCCTCATTGAAGTGAAATCGCTTCCGGTGTCCACAAAGCTTTCAAACGTCTTGCCATTAACCTTTACATCTTTCATAACCATTGACTCTCCTGTCATTTCAGCCACTGTTGATTCTTTGCGTTTGCACACAAATTCGAGGTCTATTTTATAAAAATTTAAAAAATTACCATGATTTAAATGATTGCATATGTAAAATATGTTGCTCATATTTTGCATATTTTTGCATATTTTGCATATTTTTGCCTATTTTGCATATTCTGCATATTTTTGCATATTCTGCATATTTTTTCATATTCGCATATTCTGCATATTTTTTCTTATTCGCATATTCTGCATATTTTTTCATATTCGCATATTCTGCATATTTTGCATATTTTTGCATATTTTGCATATTCTGCATATTTTTGCATATTTTGTATATTTTTTTCATATTTTTGCATATTTCGCATATTTTTGCATATTTTTTCATATTTTGCATATTTTTTCATATTTTGCATATTTTTGCATATTTTGCATATTTTTTTCATATTTTGCATATTTTTGCATATTCCGCATATTTTTTTCATATTTTTGCATATTTTGCATATTTTTGCATATTTTTGCATATTCTGCATATTTTTGCATATTTTGCATATTTTTTTCATATTTTGCATATTTTTGCATATTTGGCATATTTTTGCATATTTTTTCATATTTTGCATATTTTTTAATATTTTGCATATTTTTTAATATTTTGCATATTTTTTAATATTTTGCACATTTTTTCATATTTTGCATATTTTTGCATATTTTGCATTTTTTTGCATATTTTGCATATTCTGCATATTTTTGCATATTTTGCATATTTTTTTCATATTTTGCATATTTTTGCATATTCCGCATATTTTTTTCATATTTTTGCATATTCCGCATATTTCTGCATATTTTTCATATTTTTTCATATTTTGCATATTCTGCATATTTTTTAATATTTTGCATATTTTTGCCTATTTTGCATATTTTTTCATATTCTGCATATTTTAGCATATTCCGCATATTTTTGCATGTTTTTTTCATATTTTGCATATTCTGCATATTTTTTAATATTTTGCATATTTTTTTCATATTTTTTAATATTTTGCATACTCTTGCATATTTTGCATATTTTTTCATATTTTGTATATTTTTGCATATTTTGCATATTTTGCAAATTTTTTGCATATTTTGCATATTTTTGCCTATTTTGCATATTCTGCATATTTTTGCATATTCTGCATATTTTTGCATATTTTGAATATTTTGCATATTTTTTTCGATATCTTCATTATTAAAAAATATGCAAATATGCAAAATCCGAGGTCTACTTATAACTCATTGATACTTGACACTAATAGGGGCTAGCGTTTTATAGGGGCTAGCGTTTTAACGGGGATCAATATTGATCATTTTAGGTAGTGAAATTATTTTTAGTACAGAGATGTGGAGGTATCGTTATATGGAGGCTACACTCAAACATGGTTCAATATTAATAGTTTTTAGTACAATAATGTGCTATAAAAAATTACAGCAAATTCGATTGAAATCCCAAAAATACGATAGGAACCAGAATTTTTTATGCTTTATCCGATTGGACTCAAATTTTGTATTTAGGCGTTTCATGCTTTATTTGATCGATATTTGGAGTCATGTTAAAAATATGCAAAAAATATGCAAGGTATGCTAGGTCGATTTGCGATAAATATGCAAAATATAGGGAAAAATATGTAAAAATATGCAAAATATAGGGACAAATATGCAAAAAATTACAAAATCTGCAAAATATACAAAATATGTTAAAAATGCAAAAAACATTCACGGCATGCTAGGTCGGTATGCGATAAATATGCAAAAAATATGCAAAATATAGAGAAAAATATGCAAAATATAGAGAAAAATATGCAAAAATAGGCAAAAATATGCAGAATATGCAAAAGTATGCAAAAAATATGCAAAAAAATGCAAAATAGGCAAAAGTATGCTAGGTCGGTATGCGATAAATATGCAAAATATATGCAAAATATAGAGAAAAATATGCAAAAATAGGCAAAAATATGCAGAATATGCAAAAGTATGCAAAAATATGCAAAATATGCAAAAAATATGCAAGGTATGCTAGGTCGATTTGCGATAAATATGCAAAATATAGGGAAAAATATGTAAAAATATGCAAAATATAGGGACAAATATGCAAAAAATTACAAAATCTGCAAAATATACAAAATATGTTAAAAATGCAAAAAACATTCACGGCATGCTAGGTCGGTATGCGATAAATATGCAAAAAATATGCAAAATATAGAGAAAAATATGCAAAATATAGAGAAAAATATGCAAAAATAGGCAAAAATATGCAGAATATGCAAAAGTATGCAAAAAATATGCAAAAAAATGCAAAATAGGCAAAAGTATGCTAGGTCGGTATGCGATAAATATGCAAAATATAGAGAAAAATATGCAAAAATAGGCAAAAATATGCAGAATATGCAAAAGTATGCAAAAAATATGCAAAAAAATGCAAAATAGGCAAAAGTATGCTAGGTCGGTATGCGATAAATATGCAAAATATATGCAAAATATAGAGAAAAATATGCAAAAATAGGCAAAAATATGCAGAATATGCAAAATATGCAAAAAAAAATGCAAAATAGGC